AAAAAAATGGCATCACAAAGAAAACAAGGTGATATTTCAGTATGAAGGTTGCTTTGGCAAAAGTCCAATTGTTTTTGGCAAGAGTCCAAGAAAAAGAAAGGAAAATGGCCAATAAAAATAAACTTTATCTTCTATCACATTTTTCCACAGTAATTATTTATTCTGATTCTTTGCCCTTGCGGAGGTTAGAAAAAAGAGGTCTTTCCCTCCAGCCCCAAACTTTCCAAAAGAGCCTCAGTTCCTCTCCCTAGATTAGATGCCGCTTAAAATTCCGTGAGGGGAGGAAGAATTCCTCCCTCCATCAAAGGGCTTCCCCTTTCTTCTTTAAGCCAAATTAGAAGCTGCTGCTGCTCTTCAAGGGTAGTATAGAAGAAAAAAAGATAAAAAAGCTCATTCAGCAGGTCCGATGAACTTCCAGCTAATTCTTCCATGCAATTCTCCCAGATGTCAACGGCTTGTAGGGAGCTGTTATCTCTCCCCTGTGTTCTTCAATTGGGAAAAGCCCGAATCTCTCCATATAAATGCAGAGCTGCTGCCCCACACAATTACAAGAGTGCCTGGACAATCTAATCTTCGCCGTGACAAGGCTTAGATGGGTCTCCCACAGCTCTCTGTCAAACAAATACCGGCATGATAGCGGGAGCCCCAGCTCTTCACATTTGTGCCGCCACAATGCCAAACAGGAAGCCTCCAATGTGGGTTTTTTGATGCCGTATGAGATTTCCACTCCTACTGAAGCTCTTTCCACATTCCATGCATGTGTATGGCTTCTCTCCAGTGTGGGTTCTTTGATGCTGAGAAAGGTCCCCACTCCGAATGAAGCCCTTTCCACATTCCATGCATTTGTATGGCTTCTCTCCAGTGTGGGTCATGTGATGTTGAGTAAGCTCTCCACTCCCACTGAAGCTCTTTCCACATTCCATGCATTTGTATGGCTTCTCTCCAGTGTGGGTCCTGTGATGTTGAGTAAGCTCTCCTCTCCCACTGAAGGTCTTTCCACATTCCATGCATTTGTATGGCTTCTCTCCACTGTGGATTCTTCGATGCTTTCTAAGATATCCCCTCTGATTGAAGCTCTTTCCACATTCCATGCATGTGTATGGCTTCTCCCCTGTGTGGGTTCCTCGATGCTTTCTAAGATTTCCACTACAAATGAAGCTCTTTCCACATTCCATGCATGTGTATGGCTTCTCTCCAGTGTGGGTCCTTTGATGTCGAATAAGGGCTGCACTCCGACTGAAGGCATTTCCACATTCCATGCATTTGTATGGCTTCTCTCCAGTGTGGGTTCTTTGATGTTGAGCAAGGTCCCCATTCCGAATGAAGCCCTTTCCACATTCCATGCATGTGTATGGCTTCTCTCCAGTGTGCGTTCTTTGATGCAGTATAAGACATCTCCTCTGACTATAGTTCTTTCCACATTCCATGCACGTGTATGGCTTCTCCCTGGTGTGGGTCTGGTGATGATGAGTAAGACCTCCACTCCCACTGAAGGTCTTTCCACATTCCATGCATTTGTATGGCTTCTCTCCAGTGTGCGTCCTTTGATGCTTTCTTAGATTTCCAATACAAGTGAAGCTCTTTCCACATTCCATGCATTTGAATGGCTTCTCTCCAGTGTGTGTTCGTTGATGCAGTATAAGATTTGCACTCCGACTGCAGGTCTTTCCACATTCCATGCATGTGTATGGTTTCCCCCCTTTGTGGGTTCTTTGATGATGAGTAAGGCCTCTACTCCATCTGAAGGCCTTTCCACATTCCATGCATTTGTATGGCTTCTCTCCAGTGTGGGTTCTTTGATGCCTTATAAGATTACCCCTTTTACTGAAGCTCTTTCCACATTCCATGCATGTGCAAGGCTTCTCCCCAGTGTGGGTTCTTTGATGATGAGTAAGGCCTCTACTCCATCTGAAGCCCTTTCCCCATTCTGTGCAAGTGTGTGGCTTCTCCCCGGTGTGAGTTAATGGATGCCTTCTAAGATCTCCACTCCCACTGAAGCTCTTTCCACATTCCTTGCTTTTCCTTGCTATCTCCTCAGTGTGCTTTCTTTGGCATCTAGAAACATCACCTGGATCACTGAAGGTCTTAGAATATTCCATGCATGTATATAGCTGCTCTCCAGACTGGGCTCCTCCATCCTCTGGAAGCCTTTCACCCGCCCTTAAGCTCTCCCTACATTCCATGATTACAGAGGGCTTACTCAGTTGTTGGATCACTGTTGCTCATTAAGTCAGTTCTCGCTCTTTGAGACTCCTTCCATGGTAGACCTGTTCACCTGCGTCCTGCAGAGCTAGATGGTGAGCGAGATTCCTGCATGGATCTCTTTCAACATGCTGCACATTCACTCAGTCTCTGGAGTTTCTACAGTTTGATTGATTGTTTTCATCAAACCTTTGCTAGTTTGTGACACCCTGGACCATTTGCCTTCCTCTTTTCTGAACTTCTGGAATCTTTCCAGAAGATGTTTTCCAACATTGTGAGAAAGACCGAATTATTTTCTCCTGTTCTTTACTTGGTTTTCCCTGTGCTTTTTGCATTCTGTGCATTTGGAAATGTCTCTTTGCTCACTTGGTCCTCACTTGCTTCTGATGATACGATGCAGGGAGCCATACAGTTCGACTGTCTTGCAGTTCATCTGCTTGGGAGGAAAGAGAAAATGAAAATCTCGGAAGGAACGAAAGGCCCAAACAGCTGAGTTCATTCCAGCTCAAGGCAAAGTTGGCACCTTTCCTGGCAACATCTCCCACATTCCCCCTTCTGCCCTTTGGAAGTCCTGCCAAAGCCTCGCTTCTGAGGAATTGCCTTCAAGTGAAGAGCTCACATATGGTGAACTCTCGAGAAACTCTGAACTGTCTAGGTCACCAGACAAGGAAATATTTCCAGTTAGAAATGAAAGCTAATATTTAAGGGTATTGCACTGGCAGTGATGTTGAGATCAAAACACATCTGAATAACTTATACCAAATGCAAAGAGATGTGACATAAGGAACAGACACACAGAGAGGCAAAAATTGCAAGGACCACTGCAAGGAAAAGATCCAGACCATGGACCACCCTTCTCCAGCAGATCCCAGTGAGGCAGTCAAGCCGGCGGAAACCCGGTCATCTCTTCAATGTGGGCATTTTCAGGCAGGAATATTGCAGCCCTGCTGGGAATGCCTCAACTGGGCAAGGGTGCGGCCCCTAGAATGCCCTGAAAGGTTCTGCGCATCCTAAAGGAACTGCATGTTGCGTCCAGGTTGACTGACAAGGAGACTTACTGACCTTTGAGACACTGGAAAGGCACAGAAGACCAGCAACCATCACTCAGCCAGGCTCCCATCAGCCAGAACGGAGGGAAGCAAACCCTGCTCTTCTTCACAGCGAGAGCCTGGCTGGATGCAGGTCAGCGCTCTGAAGGGCCCTGGAAGGGAACCACATGGGCTTCAGGGTCACACCAAGCCCGGCTCTGCCCCCTGGTTTCCAGCCACATGCTCGTTCTGCTGCGGTGACTGGGAGTGGCTGTGCTGTGCTGGGCGGGAGCGAGAGCCACCTGTGCGCCATCGCATTAACTCAGCCCGAGCTGCACTGCTGGCTCAGAAGCGAGCCTCCGAAGCACATCTTTTCCGCTGCCTGGTGCCCCGTGCCTGTCCTCCGTCCCTCTTCCAGGCCGAGGCCAAAGCGCCGGGCTGCCTTCCTGCCTGACTGGGAGCTAATGGATGGGATGACAGAAGGCCCTGAGGGACCCTCCAACACTGGTGCTCTGGCAATCAGCCTGCTCCATAGCAGGCGGAAAGTTTGAGACGGAGTCTCAGATTGTGAGATATGGAATGAAGGGCTCAGGTTACAAGCAGCCCCGTCCTGGTTAGTTATCAGGAAAAAGTCCCGGACTGTCGGAGCAGCATGCCAAGATCCAGTTCCCCTGGCAGTCTGTGGACGCTGCAACGTGCAGGCATGCGAGAAGCAGCTGGGCAGCCGCCTGGGAGGGAGGACTCCCCGTGGAGACTGGCACCGAGCAGGGAGGTGGGACCGAGGGCCCTGCAGAACTGTCCAGCCTGCCCTTCCAGGACGCCCCCTGGCGGGGCTGTCCTGCAGCGCAAGAACAGGGGGTTCCGAGGGACTGAGGGGGCCACCGAGTCCGAAGCCCCGCTCAGGGCAGGAGTCCAGCTGGAGCATCGCTGGCAGGCGGCTGTCCAGATGCCTCTTGCAGGCCTCCAGGGGCAGGAGGACAGCGCAGGGGGGGGGGCAGCTGGAGTGGGGAGGAGGGCAGCAGCAAGGCATGCGCAGGAAGAGACGGCCTTCCTGCGCCAGGCCTGCAAGGGAAGCCTGCTCCACCCCGGAGAATTCGCTTTCATCTGCTACAGGTCAAGGCATTCATTTAGTCCAGGCTTATTTTATATTGTTATTTTTGTGTTTTAACTTTATGTCTGCACTTTACAAACATTTTAATTTAAGGTTATAACTTAATGTTTGCATTTTACAATGTATTTGTATTTTAACTTAATGTTGTAAGCCGCCCCGAGGCTTCGGCGAATGGGGCGGCATAAAAATGCCTTAATAAAAAATAAAAAATAAATAAATAAACAGCACTGTGTATCAAAAAGAAAAGGTCGCTGGGAGTTAATGGCCGAGGCAGCTGATCCCACCGCGGATGGGCGGAAGTTGCCCCCCTTCTGTCCCAGTGCCGGGAATGTCACTCCTTTCCCTCTGTGCCGGGGCTGCTGCAACGGGGGTCCCGCCGGGTCCGCGTCTCTCGCGATTCCGACGAGCAGTTCTCCCCGTCCAGCAGGGCAACGAACCGTCTCCTGGGCATGTCCCTAGCGAGGCATTTCGGCTCCTCTCTGCTCCAGCTCCGGCCACGGGGGGGCGAAGGGCCTTCCCGCCCCGGAGCTGCACGGAGCTCCCTAGGGGCAGGTCGTGCAAGCGCAGCCCTGCGGGGGCGCGCACGAGGCGGGAGGGGTTGCTGCGCCCCTTTCTTTCGTGGGGGGGGGGCAAAAGGAAATCCTTCCCCTCCCGCCCCAAGGAAGGCGCCTGCCGGGTCCCCCAAGCAGGGATCGCGTCCCCCAAGCAGCCCGCCACTTCCGATGCCCCGGGAGGCTGACGGGGCACCGGCTCTGCCCCAGCCCCCCCGCCCCGCCCGCCCCGCTCACCCCACGAGGCTGCCTCCTCCCGGCCGAGGGTCCCGCCGCCCGATCGCGCCCCAGGATCGCCAGGGAATCGTCCAGGAGCCTCGTCTCGCCGCTTCCCTGCTCCTCCCCAACCCGCCGGGGCGGAAGCGACGCCTCTCCTGCCCACCTCCTCTGGGAGGAAAGCAAAACCCGGATCGCGGATCCCCAACTGGGAGCTCCGATTTCCCAGGATTTTCCATAGCACCACCTCCCGGAATAGTTTTACCTTACTAATTAACACGTATCAGCTGTTGCTTTCTGTGTCGCTTCAATTCTGTGCTTTGTTCCCTGATTATGGGTAATGCTTCCCCTGGCAGCGATGCGCTTTTCCCCTCACTTCTGCCGATCGGTTGCCCCTTCATTGCAGTAAATATCAATTGCTTATTTTAACGTTAATGCACTCGATTCATGAACCTGGAGGCAGCTGCTGTCGGCGCTCTGGGACGCAGAGGAGTTTCCCTCCCAGCTTTCTGCCACTTTTTGGACTGGCTCTGCTTTTGGAGAGCTCTCTCCCCCTTCCTGTTCTTTTGTTTTCGTTGAAAGGGCAGGTGGAGCCCTGTAATTCTCCCGGCCCTTCCAATCCCCTGTTTGAAAACAAGGCAAAAGCAAAGTCTTCTGCAACCAATCAAAGTTACCGGCCAAAACAGGTGGTTTCTGCAGCTCCATGTGCTGCTCTCTCGCTTTCAGTGCCTTGAACGGAGAGTCCCTTTCGCGCTTCGCGGGGGGGATTTCGCAGCCTGCCTGTCACTGGGGTGCTTCACCTGCACGGGGGCTCAGAAGAACGCTTCTCCCTCCCTTTACCCGGGCAGGAAACACACACACACACGATTTGTATGAAGGCAGCTCTGCAGCACAGAAACACACAGACAGGGCCCTCCCCACCTTTGGCTGAAACGCCACAGGGACTGGCTTCGCATGACGCGTCCTCCCGCCTGGCTTCAGCGTGGCTTGGCTTGGATGCCTGGGGGTTGCTTTGATCGCCCTTGCTCCAAGGATCGCCCTCTTCTCTGAACCCAAACAATGCCTTGGGCTCCCCAGAGAAACTGAGGGGGGGTCTGCTGGGGAAGGATGATGCTGGTGGTACTGGCGCTTCAGGGACGGGGGGCCTCAAGAGCCGGAGCCTTGAGCAGGAGGCTCTGGAAGCCTCGCCCTCCATCTCGGCAGCCTGAGAGCCACGCCAAGGACAGTCCCTGCCCCTCCTGCCCCAAGAGGTGCAAATCTGGGTGAAGGGACTCGGATACAAGATCTGTGTCTGTGCAGTGACACTGGCGGGGGGTTTCCTCCTGAAGCATCGAGAGGCCAAGAGCGGGGAAGAGGGTTGCAAATTCACCCAGGTCATTTCTGTCATCCGTGGCCAGAAACAAGATCATGGCTTTGAGAATAATTATTACCTAACCGTATTTTATTGTTCTTTTATTTCATAGGAAATTTGTCTTGGTCAGATCTCGGCATCAGGCACTTACCTCTGGTGCCTTCAGAGAGTGACAT